GGTTTGGAGGTGCGGAGGCCTATAGTGCCGCACGCTTCAAGTTTCACCCGACCGTGGATGGGTTGGCCCTTCCTGTGTTGATCAGAGGTTCCGCTCTCCGGGACTCTTGTGATTGTTGCCGTTGCGGCAATGTGGCAATAATGTGGCAATGTGCATTCTACACGAGTTGCCCCCACAGCTTTTCAGATTTGGAGCTGTTGCAAACGCTTGTCGAAAGGTGGTCGGAAGGAGACACAGAGAGACAGAGAGAGAGAGAGAGAGACAGAGAGAAATAACGAAAAAGGAGACACCGATGCGGGCGTGAGTCCGTTCGACGGCCGAACGGGCAAGCAGCTCGCGCCATTCCCTCTTAGGGCTGGAGGGCAACAAAGCAAAACAGAGGTGGCACTGGTAGAGCGAGATAGAGAGAAAAACAAACAAGAGAGAAGGGGAAAGAAACGTCGAGAAAGAGAGAGAGAGAGAGCGCGATGTCTTTGGGCTCGGTTCCAAGGGCGGGTCGGAGGTTCGCCTTACAGCGGAAGCTATGCATGGCGCGAGGTAAGGACCGAGCTCGAGAGGCCCCTATTTGGGGTTGTATGTTCTCTTCTGTGATTTGGGGTGCGGTTGCCTGCGAGCCTGGCCGAAAGAGTGCGCCGTGGCGCTCGTCAGCTGGTGGAGCTCAGGGCCAAGGCCCAGGCGGAGCGCGAGGCGCTGGACAGGGAGAAGGCCGAGTCCTCCCTGGCCATGGCCCGGTCCCGCGAGGCGCCGCGCGGGCAGGGGAGCAGGTGAACAGACGAGCGCATGGCAGATCTCATGCAGCCCGATCACATTCGCTCACAGCGTTTCGCTGGAAGGCTCCGATGGTTGTAGAAAATGACCACAGAAGAGTCTCACAGCCCTGACTCCGGATCTTCCGTACTTTGGGCGATGGCGTGTGTCGGGCGGAAGTTCCCGCCCTATTTTACAATCTTCGTTGATGTAGATTTCCGCCCTGCCTTGCTGTCGCCGTTCCGCCGTACCTTTACGGAAACATCAGCCTTGTTTCTCGGAGGCCGGAATTTCCGCCCTAGTTTTTCGCACCGTTCGGGGTGCATTTCCGACCCTTCTGCAAGCTGGACGATCAACCAAAGTGCGTCAGATTCGAAATTTGGGCGATCACACCTTTCCGTCGTAGCGTTTCGCCAGGGAAGCGTCTGATTGTCTTAGAATTGCTGGGACTTGTGGTTTGCTCTCGGCGAGGACCATCGAGGAGCATATTGGACAACTTCTCGAAAGCATAAGCGCAAGAAGCCGAAACATGCATGGGGAACGGATGTCCGAGCGATGGCAAGTAGCGGTAAGAGAAGGGACAGCGGAAGAGTCCCACAGAGGGGGGGAAGGGGGAATCCGAGGGCCGCCTGCTCCCGAAACCGTCTCGCGTGAGAACTCTTCGCAGTGAAGTCGGGCAGTTGTGGGACCTCCTCCTCCTCCTCCTCCTCCTCATCATCATCATCATCATCATCATCCCTCCTCCCTTCCTCCCTCCCTCCCTCCATCCCTCCCTCCTCCTCCTCCTCCTCCTCCTTTTCCTCCTCCTCCCCCTCCTCCTCCTCCTCCTTCTCCTCCTCCTCCTCCTCCTCCTCCTCCCTCCTCCTCCTCTCCTCCCTCCCTCCTTCTTCCTTCCTCCTCCATCCCTCCTCCTTCCTCCCTTCTCCTCCTCCTCCTCCTCCTCCTCCTCCTCCTCCCTCCTCCCTCCTCCCTCCTCCCTCCGCCCCCCCTCGTCCTTCAATCGAACAGTAGCTCACTTGTCCTTTTTTTCATTTTGGCATGTTGTAATGGTCTCCCCTCTCCCCGCTGCCCTGTGTGCTCTGGGGCCGGGAGGATATCTTCCCGTGCTCGCCTTATATACGCTTTTTCTGTGCGCCGATAGAGAAAACAGTCACCTCATTCATCCTGTCACCTCTACGTCCGCAGTTCTATTTGGTAGCGGAGCATGTTCGCCCCTGCTCCCACCACGGCCGCCATGTCTCGCTTCGGGTCGACCGCAACGGTTTCCACCTTCCGCCGCCGTCGACTTCGGTCAACCGCCTTCAACATGTACGCCCTCGTGCGCTGCTTCCCCCTCGCTCTGGAAGGAGACGTTGCTTTAGGGTCCGTCAGGGCTGTGCCAGCCCATCCGCCAGGACCCGCGACCGGGAGCGCGCACGCCGCCTTCAACACTTCCGCCTTCGTGCACTTCTTCCCGCCCACTATGGCAGGAGACGTTGCTCGAAGGTGCGTCGGGGCATCCGCCCATCCGCCAGGACCAGCGACCGAGAACTTGCAACCGGCACCTCATCCAGGACATCATCGAGATCCATAAGGACCGCTCTGCGACTCATCCTGGGCACGTTCGGAGTGCGTCCAGGCCGCGAGCGGACCCCAAAGTGTCAGTGCCCCCGCCTGTGGGGGCAGGCCCAGGTGTTAGACAGTTGCTCGACACAGCTTTCACATTTGCGGTGTCAGAACAAGGCCCCGAATTTCTTGGGACTGTCTGGAGAAACCTGGGAGGAGCGAGCAGAGAAAAGGCATCCAGCGACTGTTGCTAGTGCCGCGCGGGGACGCAGTGGGGGGCAAGGGAATTGCGCCCCCCCCCCCGGGTAATGCAGCGGAGGGCATGACGACCAGGGGCGCCATCATTCCGAGGCACCCCACTTCGGGATCTGATCATTCGCTTTATCGACGCAGACCCGCCAGTCAGGCAGGACGGGATCCCAACGCGCACTCTTCTAGACGATCGCGCAACTGGCGGTGCTCAGTACAGTGACCGCACGACGTGCGAAGAGCATTCCCGTGACTGTGTCGCGGGGTGTTCCGAAAACCGCGAGCATTTCAGTGACACGGCAGAAAAAGACACCCAATGTGCTGACAAGGAGGAAGGCATACGGGGCCAGTGTCCTCGGCGACTCACGCAGCGCCGCTCGGGGACCCCCAGCCTCCAGCACCTCTACGACGTGTGGAGGGAGCTACGCTCCGGATGGAAGGCCGTCGGAGTCGGCGTGCGCGCCGTCGCGAGCTGCATCGCCTGCGCACGCGCAGGTGGTAGCAGCGGCAAAGCGAGGAGCACGTTGACCCGCTTCATCATGCTCGACGAGCGGCCCCTCCTCGCTGAGAGTCGAGGTTCTCGAGGAGCACGTTGACCCGCTTCATCATGCTCGACGACTTGGGAGCGACGGCGGGGCCGCTGCCCGTAGAGGTGCAGGGCACGTCAGGAAAGAGTTTCCGAGCTTCCAGCCCGAGAGCGACCCCTTCATCCGTCGTCGCCAGTTTGCCCGAATAAAGCTGGTCCCACCAATCCGCGCCGTAATACTTCTCCATCGCTGCACGCCATAGCTTCGACTCACGCTGCTGCTCCTCCCTTCCACGAGCACCTTTCGGGCCTCCGCCCTCCTTGGACCTCCAAGTCTGGAAGCGATTCCACCTCAGAAGCTGCGGCTTCGGAATCACCGCGGTCGCAACCGCATCCCAAAAAATCCCTGAATACCCTTCCACTGAACCTTCACCTGCAAAGTCGTCTTCTCCCAATCCTGGTCTGTCCGTTGCCAGCACAGGGGCTCGGCCCGCCTCTCCTTCGTCCCCAGCGCGCTGTCCAGCGGCTCCAACGTCCGGCGCCTCCGCGCGATTGTCAGGTCTCTCCCTTTCGACGGGTCGTCGTTCCACAGATTCTCCACGCTGCCCAACTCGGCTTTCATCGCCTCGGTCTCCAAGTCCGCCTCGGCTTCCCTCGCCTCGGCCTTCCCCCGGGGGTCCACCCGGTCCATTCGAATCCGTTCCACGAACGTCCCTCGGTATCAGTTCTTCACCTGCGCCTCGCGCTTCGTCACCATCTCGCTGCCCGCCTGCAGCATCACCAGGGCCTCCGAGCGGTAGGCCTTCGTCCTTGCCTGCTCCTCCGGAGCGTCCACGAGTGGGTCCACGAACTCCACCTTGAGGTCCAGTCTTCTTTCCGTCCTGAGACGACATTTATCTTGCCGTTGGTCTTCTAGTCAAAGAAATCAATCAACAGCCGATAGATCTGAACTAAAGATAAGACTTCCCGGAGCAGCCCCCAGCTGAAACCCGTAAACGAATCCCGTCCAATAGTGTCTTACAAGTTCCCACGCAATTGCAGCAGTTACCGTTCAAGTAACCCTGTTAAGTCTTCCGGGCGACCTAATCAAATGTCTTCAGTCTCTATCTATCCAACCAATGACAATGATGAAGATCAAGACGGTTTCTCCGCACGCCGGGCAGACGGCGTGCCTCAATCCATGCACAAACGGCACACGCCCGCCACAAAACGGCTAGAGCCAAAAAGACGGCCACGCATGATGCATAATGTGATGCATGGCCTAGCTGCTCGTCTAGGTGCGCTCAGGGCTGCACTCTAGCTGCTTGTCTAAAGAATGGTGGCAGGCTTCGAGTTGACTCTCTCTCATCCGCCCCGAGAGACTCCCAGGAGCCCCCAACCCCCAAGAAGCCCCAAGAGGCCCGAAGAGGCCCCCACGAGGCTCCCCAGAGGCCCCAAGAGGCTTCCAAGAGGCCTCCCAAGAAGGCCTCAAGAGGCAAACATCATTCTTTGTCCGTATGATTTGGAAGGGTTTTCGAGCTTTCGGTTTTCGGGTTCCCGACGCTCCAAGACGGAGGCGCCCAAGACGGCCCGAGAGGGCCCCAAGACTGCCCCAAGAGAGGCCCAAGAAGGGGAATCCGAAGCGAAAAGCCGAGCCTTCCGCCCCTAGAGGCCCCCAAGAGGGCCGAAAAGGTTCCCACGAGGCTCCCAAGAGGCCCGAAGACGCGCCAAGAGGCTTCCAAGGGGCTGCCCAAGAGAGCCCCAAGAGTCAAAAATCATTGATTCCCTGTGGTTTCAGACTGATCTTCGAGTTCTCGCCGTTTCGGCTTCCCGACGCACCAAAATGGCCCAACTTACCTGGTTAGTGTTGGGCGGAGATCCAGCAGCTCGCTCTCATAGGGTCGATCAGCTCACTGCTTTCTGAGGCCTGTAACGCCTTAGGAGCCTCCGATGGAGTCGTCCTTTGTTGGCTCAAGCTCCAGCAGGGTTCGATCAAGGCAGTTGCATTCGAAGTGTCAGTAAGCAGCTTCTGCCTAATTATCATCGAACACATGGCGGACGGGGACACCGGCGCGATCGACCCTGGAACGGTTGATTTGCGCTGGCACGTCTTGATCGACCTCGTTGATTTTGCGACATCCGTCACTTATACGATATTCTATGCGCAGTGTGTGGGTGCCCACAAGAAGAACACGTTCTGGATTGTGAACAGCGCAATTTGCGCAATAGAGCTGTTGGTTTTGGTCTGCTCGTATTACCACAGCAAGCGTAGGGCTGAGGAAAAGTTCGATGTGAAGGGAGCTGAGAGCCGATTGCGGACGGAACACGACAACATCGAGTACATGGAAGGAAGGGCAGGTCCATGGACTGATGAGGAACACAAAAGGTTTTGCACTCTTCAAGTAAGGCTGAAAGAAAAGGAGAAGAAGGCAAAGGCTCACCGAGTGTTCTTCTACATTGGCTTGACGACCGTATGGGATATCGCTAACAGCGCAGCTGTTTTCCTCATGAACGACGCCATGTTTGCAGTCGAGAGTTGCGGCTCAGCATCAACGTATTTGAAGTACGCCAACGGCCTCGTCTCTCTGCTCAACATGGTAATCAAGGTCGTCGACGTGTGCAAGGTCTGGAGATCGGCCGGCGACGAGGACGACATGTAGTCGAGGACGACAGCCCCGGCGACGAGGATAAATATGAGTCCTCTCATTCATGACGATGGCTTCCCTGATATCTGAACTATTAGGCCTTCGCATTGGCGGGTGGTAGGCATACATCGCGCGCGAAAGGCGGTCAAGTTGCGTAGCAAGTTTTTTCTGCGCCTTGCTTTCAGATTCAATCCAGCTGCCTGCGGCAAGTCCCGCCACCGTGCCAGCCCAGCGCTTTGGGTGGCGACTGTTCGAATGATGTTGGTGATGATGACCGGGGATGATGATGATGATGGTGATGATGATGGTGATAATAATGATGATGATGATGATCGAGGATGATGGTGATGACGACGACGATAATGATGATGATGTTGACGATGATGAGGATGATGCCGATGATGATGATGACGACGATTGTGATGGCGACGACGATGATGACGATGATGAGGAGGAGGATGAGGAGGAAAAGCAAGGCTGTCACCTGAGGCGCTTTTCGTTTTCTAGGCCGTCTTCGGGCGGTCCGGGGCTCCTGTGGGGCAGTCTTGGGGGCCCCTTGGGGCCTTCTTTGGCATTTTTGATGCCTTTTGGGCCTTCTTGGGGATCTCTTGGGCCGTCTTGGGGCCCTCTTGGCCGTCAGCGGGGTCTCTAAGGGCAGTCTTGGAGCCGTCGAGTGGCCTTTTCACGCCGTCTTGGGTCCCTCTGGAGGCCCTCTTGGGCCAACTTGAGGCTCTCTTGGGGCTGTCCTGGGCCGTCTATGAGCCCTCGTTGGCCCTCTTGAGGTCGTCTTGGTTGCTTCTTGGCTCATTTTGGAGCTCTATCGGGCCCTCTTGGGGCGATCTTGGAGGTCTCCTGGGCCGTCTTGAGCTGACGGAAGCCCGGAAACGTGAGGATCCACAAGTCAATGAAAAACATAAGGATAATCATTGTTTTTTGCATCTTGGGGCCCTCCGGAGGCTCCTCTTGGAGCCCTCTGGAGCCGTCTTGGGGGCCTGTTTGAGCCCTCTTGAGGCCATCTTGGGCCGTCATACAGCCATCTTGAGCCCTCCTGGAGCTACGTTGGGCCGTCTTGGAGGCATGTAAGGCCGTCTTGGTGGCCTTGGTGGCCTTCTTGGGCCGTCTTGGAAGCCTTGGAGAGCCCCAGGGAGGCGCAATGGCCGCCCGGGGACTCTCAAAAGTAGGGCCGATTCAGGCAGTGAAGTGCGTCGAGCGGGGGCGGGTCCCTTAGAAGACTACAGAAACCCTGCCAGACAGCACTTGGCATTCTTCCACGCCTCAACGTTGGGTTCGTCTGGACCCCCTGCTCTGGACGGGACACCCAAATGTGCGTCAAGAGGTGCAGTCAAGGGGCCGCCTCGACTCGCTCTTGACTTTGTTTTTGCGCCGTCAACTCGGAAGCCCTGGGCCGACCGCAAAACGGCGAGTGTTCTTGACTGCGCCTCTTGATGGCCATTTGGGTGTCTCGTCCAGGGCTCTGGCGAACACGTTGCCTTTGCGGCGGCAGGACAAAGGCGATGCTAGCAATCCAAAAAATGAGGACGAGGTGTAGGAGGAGGGGGGCAGGGGAGTTTGTGGAGAAAGAAAGGTGAGACTCGAATCGGCCGCCCCCGACTCGGATCGCGGGTTTAAATTGGGGCCCCGCAGTCGTAACCCAAAACTTGCACGGGGAGGGCGGAGAGGAGGGGGAGGTGCAGGAGGGGCGCGAGGATGAGGAGGGGGAGGTGGCCGAGGGAGAGGAGGAGGAGGAGGAGGTGGAGGATGCCTTTACTTATACCCATGCAGACCGCGCACGCACACAAAACGTGAACACGACATTGGACATGTATACTTGGATTTATGATCTACGCTTACGCCTTTACGGGGTACACTGGCTAACTGCAATTCTAAAGTTTTCTACCTGGGAGGGTGCGTGTCGAAACAAAGCCACATCGTCGAATGAAGCGCTGAGGCCTCAATACACTGGGGCACGGCGGTCAACCAAGACATTGGTGGTCAAGTGCACGAGCAATATCGACAACCATATCTTTTCCAACACGTTTTTCAGACCAGGCACTTGTTGCAAACTCCATCAAATCAACGTCTCTCGAACGGCGGAGCCTCCAGCTCGAATACCCCAAAAGCATTGCACCTGCTAAGACAGACAGCCACGGCAATGCACCCACACCCATTGAGCAGAGGGATTGGTGAAGCACACGTGTGAAGTACTGTGTATTTAACATACGATACTATATCATTCAACATCTGTGGAGTATCACCCGTGTGATCACGCTTGAGTCTTCGAGCGCTGAGCTGCCCGATGAAACCCTCTGGGATCATACGCGCTTAGCGCGCTTGAACCCCTGGCTGGGTGCGGGCTGCGGCGGCTTGCTCTTCTGATCTGCGCTCTCCGCGCTCGAACTGGGCGCGCCCTTGGGCTTCGCCCCAGGGGTCTCCAAGCTGAGATCCGCAGCAGGGCGCTTGGCTGGGGTACTCTGGGAACTGGCGGGAGCCGATGCTTTCTGAACGGCCGCAGGCCCGCTCGCTGAGAAAGTGTCGGGGGCCACCGCGTGAGACTTCAAATCCTTGAACTGCTGCCAGAACTGAGCGGGGAGGGTCGGGTGTTTCGGCGCGTGCTCATCAAGAAAGGCTTGCGCTTTATCGGGGCCGTCTGGACGATTGCGGTAGGTGGCAAGCGTATCGATCCCTAGAATGATCACGTTGGCCTGGCTCGATTTCTTCATGCACTCACCTGCTACAGCCACGGCCTGAAACGTAAGTTCATTATCTTGCAAACGGGGGCTGACGGAAAGCTTCTCTGCTGCTCTGCTAAAATCAGCAAGGTATTTGTGCACGATGTTGTGTTGCTCCACTAAGGGATCGATTTTTCCCTTGAGCATCCCCTTGGCCATGTGCTCGTTGTACCCGTCGTCGGCGAAGCAGGCTGACCATGGAGGGGTTACCTTGGTCAAGGCGTCGCTCTGGTCCGTCAGGAGCTTGGCGATGGACTTCAAGATGACTTCCTCAAGGCGCTTGCTGAAGATGGCCGCTAACAAGCACCATGCACGCATCGTGGCAATCGGCTCATTGAGCACCCAGCCACTCTTCTCCAACTCCACGGCCCTGGAGTCGTTGACGGCGGCATCGAGCGTCTTTAGCGTCACATGGAGGGCGCTTCCGACGTCCACCGCCTGCCCGCAGATGAACTCCTTGGTGAACGCGTTGTCTCCCGAGGCGCTGCACTTCATGATGTGCACGTGCGCGGCAGACACCACCTCGACGACGTCGGCGACGGCGCACTGCAGCTCCAGGGCGAAGATGCACAAGTCGATGGAGGGCTTCGGCGCATCTAAGTCAGGGTTGGTCATGCCGGGTACCTCCAGGTTTGACAAGGCGACCGCCTTCGCGAAGTCTTCCAAATGCTTGCGCGCCATGTTGTGTTGGAAGGGCAACGAAGGCACGTCAGGAGTGATACTATTCCAATCGATGGTCTGCTCCTTCACCAGCTTGGCCGCGTCCGCCGTGGGGAGCAACCTGGAGAACGCAGCCGAGGCGTCGCACTCCTTAATGACCTCTGGATGAACCGAGCCCAAGCGCACTTCTTTGCAACGAATCATTTCGAATTTGAGCTCCAGGAAGGCCTTCGTCTCTCGGTCGTACATGGGCTGGCCGACGTTGTTGCAGAACCTGCCGAAGATCATCGCCACGTCGTCTCCGACCTCTGGGAACGGGAGGGCGGATGTGAGCAGCACGTCGAAGGGCCTGACCGCCGTTTGTTCGTGGTGAATCTTGGTGAAAGTGCACAGGATATCCTCGGAGATCTGCGGGGCCGTCTGGACGGGCGAGTCGGCGAGCCACCAGTCCGGAAAGCTCAACGCGTGGAGGGCGTCCATGTAGGCGGCCATCTTGTCGCAGACCGACACGTTGTGGTTGAACTGCTTCAAGAGTAAGTCGCCCGACAACTCCTCCTGGAAATGATCACGCCACGAGCTGCCAAGCCTAGACATTCCCACCTTGAAGATCTTCTGGGTGCTCAGCGTAACCTTAAAGACGAGGTCGACGAAGGACTTCAAACGCGGCTGCATCGAGCGAATGCTATCGTTGATGTCGCGGACGTGGCCGAAAATTGCGTCGGTCTTGAAAACCTTGGGAATGTTGGCCTTGCCGCCCTCGGCCGACGGCGAAGCATTATTCTTCTCCTCGGCGGCGTCGGCGTCGTCATCGGGCTTTGCCTCCGTCACAGGCTTGGACGAAGACGCCGTTTCCATGAGCTCCCCGATCAAGCGCTTGACGGAATTCACGTAAACGAAGTTCGCGGCGTGCAAGAGAGAGAAGATGTTCGAGATCGTGTTCGCCTACGGTGCAGCGCAAACTTGCAAAGCCATAAACATGCCCCCCCCCCATTGGCGAAGCCTGAGGGGGGAGGATCCTCTCCTGAAGTGTGGGCTGGGAGGTCCGAGGGGGAGGGTCAAGATATGGCTTTACAAGTTTGCAGCGCCCAGCGCTCACCAAAGACTCGCTCTGCTGCTGCAAGGCGCCTGGAGACCAGCGCTGCAAGGCCTGGTTGCAAGCGACGCACATCGCGTTGCAAGCTTCCAAGAAGAAAGCGCAGCTCTCGACGTCCATGGCCTTGCCTTTCTGCCCCGTCTCCAGCCAAGCAGCGACGTCATCGAATACTGGGCCGAGGACGCCCTCGAAGCGGTCCAAGGAGAACTCGAAGCCGTTCGATGCAGCAGCATCCTCGACGCCAATCTGGGCATGGTCCAACGCGACCTTCATAAAGGCTTTCCCAGCTGGGTGGTCGATCATCGCCTTAGCCAACTCCGCTGATGGGCCGTCTTCTTTCATAGTCACGAACATTGTTTTCCTGGCCCACCTCGCCTCGTTAACGTTGGGCTTCTGCCTCTCGTCCTTCATGGCACACTGGATGATCACGCCGCACGCACGGAGGAAGTGGTAGACCTTGTCGTTGCAATCGGCATTCGTTTTGGTCTCCCACACCCGCGTGATCTTCCGCATCCTGAACATCGCAGCCTCCACTCCCACGTTCGATTGCACGACCTCTGGCTTCATGCCGAAGATCCAGGCTGCCGCAGCATCGCTCACCAACTTCTCGAATTGCACTTCGGGCTCTCTAGAGACTCGGACAGCTACCAAATCCTTCGGCAGAGCGGCGATCCTGCGTTTCTTCTTGCGGGCCCCTGTATCGGCACCTGGCTCCTCCTTGACCTCACCGTTGCCCTCATCCTTCACGCCCTGGGTATCGTTCGAAGCCGAGGACCCGAGCAAGCGGCCAGCGTCAGCGACGCAAGCCCTCTGGCAGTCCTTGAGGAGGTCGAAGTCCAGCTTCTCCATCGCATCCTCTATGGCCACGCCAGCGTGAAGAAGCTCATAGAACTGCGCGTACATGTTGATGATTTCCAGATCTGGAGCCAGCTGCTTCTCGACGTGGTCGAGGTACGGCTTAATCGACGAGATGTGGGAAACGAGTGGGACCAAGGCGCCATCAGCATTCTCATCATACCAAGCCTTGAACACCTTATACATCTCGATGAGGGAGTTGACCCTGGTGCTCACCTGCTGGTAACCGACCTTGATGTCAACGTTGGCCTGCGCCTGCATCTCCTTCTCGTGGTTATTCACTCTCCGCTGGAGTGCTTGCACCGTCTGGATCTTGAAGTTGGGGTACCACCCAATCTCCGCTAACGAGTCCACGTAGGCGTTCACAGTGCCCCTGATGCGGCCGACGCTGATGAACAGCTGGCCTTTCGGTAAGCGCTCATCGATGGAGTACTTGCTGATCTTGTGCCCGCTCGCCATATCAACATCATCTGGCTCGGGGATGTCTAGGGAGGGATCACCGCCGTTGTCGCCAACGCCGCCGTCGCTCTCGCGCGACGCTGCGGCGACCCTGGGGGCTTGGAGCCAGCCGCTGCGCGGGATGGCCCTGAGCACCCGAGGCGCGGAGGCCTCGCCCCGCTCCGCGGGAGCGGCCCTCTCCGGAATATCCTGGGCAGCCGTCGCTTGGCCTGCTGATGCCGCGGGGGGCCCTTGGCCAGCAGCGCCACCATCGCCAGCATCAGGGCAGCCAGCAACGTCGATCTCGCCATCGCCACGGCACTCCTGAGACGCGGCCTCGGCCCAGTGAATGGCCAAGTCCTCCAACGATATCGTCGCGTGGCTGGTCTCGATGCGCAGCTTCTTCCAGAGCGTGACTAGTTTGACCCACTCCTCGCCCTCCGAAGGGAACACCACTGCGCCCAAGGGCCCCTCCAAGGGGTGAGACACCAAGATGCCCAACTCGATGCACTCTTCGCACGTGATGGGCTTGCCGCCCGCGGGGGCGCCCTCTGACGGAACCTTACATCCGCACTTGCAGCATGAAGGAGACTCGAAGAGGCCATCCGCGAACTCTGGATCCAGAGGAAGTGCTGGTGATGTCTCATTCTGACGGTTCTCGACCTGCGATGCCTGCCGAAAGTCGGCGCTGGCACTGCAGTCGCTGCCGAAAAGCTCGTGCTTGCACTGCTCGCATTCCTCCTTCGTCATAATCTCTGCCGACGCTGGCTCCATGGCGCAAGCAGCGCCCTGCCCTGCGCGAGATCGCGCTCAAACCTTCCAGCTCAGTCGGCGCAGTCTGCGCGGTAAAAGTGAAAAAGGCGGATGCCTTACTCCAACTCAGCCAAAACAGCTACGCGAGGAGGGGCAGAGAGGCAACGAGGAAACAGGAGAATGATGGATCCCCGTTGCAAGCACATTCCAAGTCAAAATGGTGTTGGAGAGGAGGAGGTACTATCACGGCAAGCTCCAACATCAAGAGGAGCAGGAGGAGGAAGGATGAGGAGAGGATGCTAGGACAGAGTCAGAGGGTAGAAAGGTGCGCAGGAGGGGACATGGAGGAAGGCGGAGGAAGGAGGATTGAAGAGGGATGAGGACTGCAGGAACTCGGATTGCGTCCAAGAGGGCCCAAGGCCCAAGACGGTCCTGACCGAGAGAGCGGTCTTGGTGGATGTCATGTCCCTTGTTCCAGCAGGATCATAGGAAGAGGCCAGGGAGAGGAGAGGAGAGGATGACGGGCTCCGTGGTTAAGGAGGGTGGACGCAGGTGCGTGCGCAACCTGCACGATTGTGAAGTAGAGCGTCTCAGGCCTCGTCCTCCCAGAGGCCAGCCACGCAGAGCCAAACGTTGGGTGTGGAACAAAGGGACGACGATTGCGATGGCTGGGAGAGGGGGCCCCCTTCCGAGACCAAAGCCGAACGTACCACGTCTATGTGAATATATGCTAATAGGAGCGGGCTGGCATTCCCACTATCCTCCTACGGGGAAGCAATGATTGAGGGGAGGGCGCCTTGGACCGTCTTACTTAAGGCAATCTTGGGCCGTCTTGGAAGTACTTTGGGTCCAGTCGGAGGCCTCGTGACCCCATCACAGGGGCGTGGTCGTGGTCAACATTATGCCCCTTCCTCGAACCCTCGCCTTTCTATTCCTCGGGGGAGATAGAGGTGGTCAGTAGCCCTCTTGAGCCGTCTTGGAGGCCAACCTCCTTATCGTTCGTCGTTCTTCCTCCTTCCGCCGTCCCCACCCCTCGTTTTCCGTGCGGCTCTCACCAGAACCCTCCCCAATTTTGTTAACGTGTTTCTGATCCCTCCGCCGCGCCCACGCCCCCCCTTCCTCCGGCGCGGGCGCGGCGCGACGCGGGTGCCTCGAACACGTCCGTGTCAGCCGCGCGGCGGCCACAGGCAGCCCGTCGTTCCGGACGGGGGGAGGGGCGGGGGGGAGGGCCCTCGCTCTGTTTCCTTCCTTCCTCCTCCTCCTCCTCCACCCCGTCGCCCGTAGCCATTTTGGTTCAAGCGAAGAGCCGTTTCAGCTCACGTTCCCACGCCGCGACCTTTAGTGCGCGCGTGCCACGAAGAAGACGCGCGCGCGCGAACATCGATCCAACCAGCCGAGCTGAGTCTCGTAACGGGTACGCATGCTTGTCCCGCATTCCGAGTGGCGCGCGCTAACCTTACATTTGAGTTTCCCAAGTTCAATAGGCGACTGACTGTATACTTAGCAGCGCAGAACTCGCCGCGCAAGCGCGCGCGCGCTCTCTGCATCCCGATGCGTACGCCTATACGCACCAATGCGCTCATGCCAGTTGCAGAATGCAAGTGGCGCGCGTTAAGGATGCACTGGAGCTTGCGCAGCCAGGGGCGATTGCGCCCTTGCGATGACACACGACAGGCCCTACGCGCGCGCGCGAGCGCGCGCGCGCGCGCGCCTGGCACGCACGCGCGCGAGTCAGCGTCTCCTGCGCGGGCAGCGCGGTTCTGGAACACTTGCGTGCACCGGTCGGATATGGAGCGGCCCGCGCCAAAGATGGCCACCGCATCGTGCCAGGGCAGAGGTGCGACTCCATCGCTCTCGTCGCGCTAGACGCACAACGCGCAGGCGCGGGCGCTTCTCGCATCTCGCTCTGCGAGCGCCAGGGGCTCCGCGCAGACGAACGCGCGCGTCAGTTTGACGCGGTAAGTGGCGCGCGCGCGAAGGGCCCGCCTCAGTTGCCCACGCCAATTGGCGCGATCATGCGATTCGGGCGCCGCGGAGCTCCTCGCGCGCGCGCTTAGCCGCCCGCAGCGCGATTTCGCGCGCGCGCGCGTCTTTGTACGAAACGCGCCGATGAGCGCGCGCGCTCGCGGGCTGGTGCGCCTCTGGGCCGACGGGCCGATGGGCCCATGGGCCGACGCGCCTCTGGCGCGGCATGGGCGGGCTCGTCAGCCGCGTGCGCCTGCAGCCGCCGCTCGCGCGAGATCTGCGTGAAGACCCCGTCCGAAGGCTCCGCGCAAGGCCGCGTTGGCTCAGATGTAGACGCACCCCTTGCCCGCGCGCACTGCGATGGGGCAGATCAACGCGACGGTGGCGCGCCCTCTCTCTTCGACATCGCCACACGCGCGCGGCGCGCGCGCGCAGCCGCGCGCGGGCGCGCGGGTAACCCGGGTCAAGAATCAAGGGGCGTCTCCCGAAGGTACTCCCGCGGAGCTGCCCCTCGAGGTCTAGGGCGCAATGGCCCCCTAGCAAGTCTCCAGCTGGATCTTTCTGGGGGCGCCTGCGAAGCGCCGAGCAGAAGCCTACAAGGGGCTCTCGCTGCAAGCTTCCAGCAGGTTTCTGCGGGGATTTGTCGAAGCGCCCAGCGGGAGCCTTCGGGGGGGGGGGGGGGGGCTGCCAGCTCTCGCGAAGGAGCGCCGACCCGAGGGCGCGCTCTCACTACGTTACCATTCCATTCTCGCTCCGTTCTCGCAGCGAGCGCATCCCAACTTCGCCATGCGCGCAGTCCACGCAGAATTGGCGGTCGCCCCCTTTCTCATCCCTTTCTCGCCCCGACGGCGCCAGGGCCGTCGCGCGCGCGGCGTCCGCGGGCTGGCGCGTCGCGCGCGACCGCGCGCAAGTCGCCTGGGCTGCCGCTCGCGCGGCGGCCGAGCGCGCTCGTGCATCGCGCGATTTCACGCAGGTTGCGCCAGGGCCCCCGCGCGCGCGCCTAGCAGCCCTGCTCCCGCCCGCGACGTCGTTTGGCACGCAGAACGCGCGCAGGCCGCCGCGCGCGCGGCGGCCACGCGCGCGCGCGCGCGTCGAAATCTCCGGCTAAGGGGACGCCGAGACCACCGCGAGCGAGGCGCCTCCGTTCTCTCGCGCGACGCACTTCTCGGGGGAGAATGCACCAGGGCCGCCGCGTACGCGGCGGCCGTGCTCGCTCTGGCGTCTCCACGTCCCGCGCAGGATGGGCCAGGGCCGCCATGCGCGCGGCGGCCGCGCTCGCGCGCGCGGGCTCAGTCAACGCGGCTTACTGCTCATGGGAGAAGCACGTCAGCCGCAACGCCGCACGCTGGCGAGTTAACTGCCAGCGTTCACTGCTGGAGTCGACTGTCGACGTCGACTGTCGACGTCGACTGTTGACGTCGACGCGGCCCCCTGGTGTCGCCTGTTGACGTCGACGCGGCCCCTCGACGCGGCCTGTTGACTCGGCGACGGCCTGTTGACGAGTTGACGCGGCCCCTCGACGCGGCCCCTTGACTGTCGACGTCGACTGTTGACGTTGACGCGGCCTTGTTGGTGGCGCCACCTGACGGCCCACCGCGCCGTCGACTCCCCCGCCCGTCCGCGGGGCGGCGCGTCGACTTCGCCACTCGTCTTCCTGGCGGCGAGTTGACTTCGGTAGCCAGCTCGACTCGGCCGACGCCCCAATAACACTGCGCGCAGATCGAGAGCGCCGAATGACGCCATGCGTCATGCAGTGCGCGCTAGAAGCCAATGCCGCTGCCAGCGTCGCGCGCAGGTGTAGCCAGAGCCCGCCCATGTCGTCGGCGTCCTTGTAGCCAGCGTCGACGATGACACCGCGAGCTCGGCGGGGCGCGCAAACGGCCGCGCGATGTCGTCGAAGAACCTGTCCGCTTGCCGATCAACGACCTGCGCGCGAGGTTGACGGCGCCGCTGGCGCCGAGCCCCGCGCGCGCGCGCGTGCGCGCGCGTCGACGCGGGCAATCGAACGCGCGCAAGCTGTCAGCGCGACAGGGGAACGCGCGCGCACCGCCGCGATCGGATCCGCGCGGCGCCCTCCTACGGGCCCCTGCACGCGCGAAGGCGCGATGCCCATCGTTGCGCCGCTTGGCGCCGCGAGGCGCCCCTTCCGCGACAATCTGAGCGCAAAGAACGCAATGCGAGAGTAGCCAGCAGCGGCCCGTGGCGACCCAGAGACGCCCGTCAGAGCCACCGCGGACCCATTGGAATCCATGCGCGCTTTCGGGCCCCGCTTGCCAGCCCAACTCGGCCCGACGCATCTCAGCGCGCGCGCCTCGCCTGTCAAGCGCGCGCGTAAGCAACGCGCGCCTGTGAAGCAATCGCAGGCGAGGCGCGGCACCCAAACGCCTGCGGGCGAGCGCGGCGCGCGGGCCTCGGCAGGCCCCCTCGTTGCCAACCACGCGGGCCCTTGGGGGAAGGGGGGCGCGCGCGGGCCAGCGCGGCTCGCGGGCCTTGGAGCGCGCGGGAGGCCATTCGAGCCCCACGGGGGCATATAAGTCCACGCGGGGCCACGGGGGAGGGGCGTTCGCCCAGGAGCGAACGCGGCGCGCGAACCATAAGGACCACCAGAGACCATCTCGCACCATCGGAGGGCAAGCACAATGGACGAGCGCGGTGCATATGCTCTAGGACGACGGTCGGAGGTCACTGGGGCCATCGCAAGCCAGGGCGCGCGAAACCCTAGAGGGCGAGTGCGGGGCACAGGCCACGAGGCCCCGTCGAGGGCCATCGGGCGTTTAGCAAAAGCGCAAATACATTATGCAAGCAACGCGCATTAACGACACCTGGCGCGGGAAGCCACAACATCAGCTCATGCGCGCTAGGGCCCGCGCGCGCATAATATTATAAAGGTCACGCCCGCCATTGGGCGTGAGCTTGAGCCAAGTCTGCTTAAAAAAAAGCCTCCTCCGCCCTCCCCCTCCCGATCCTACCTCCGCCGCCCTCTCCTTCCTGACCCCTCGCCCGCTCTCGGCGGTAGCAACGACGAGGCCAATGATGGGAAGGAGGAGGGGGTCGCC